AGAAGAAGAAGAAGAAGAAGAAGAAGAAGAGCAGTCCTACCTGCCGCAGTTTCTCCTCTGAGTCTCCGAGCTGAGGCAGCGCACTGATTGGTCCATCCAGAGAGGCCACGCCCACTGCTGACAGGCCACTGGCTGTGGTCTGCTCAGTCTGGGACAGACCTGGTGTCCTGTGACCCACATCCTGACCCGGATCCTGAAGCCCACTGTGCAGGGAGAAGCTGGTCTCCTCAGGTCCACCCGGGGCCTTTGGGGTCTGGCTGCTGCTGGTCCTGGGGAACGAGTCTTGTTGTGGACGTCCTGGAGACCGCTGTAAGGGACCAGAGGAGACACAGTGGACCAGAACATGAGCAAAGACCCTCACAGACCAAAGACAGGTAAACTGGACCCCTTAAAGTGGTCTTCAGGTCCAGGAGCTGGGGGGGGGGGGTCACGGTAAATTTACCCACCTCAGCTGATGGTCCTGAGGTCAGGGGGGACAACCCGGATGCTGCAGGCTGGGTCTGGGTCCAGGGGGTGTTGGGCTGTTGCAGATAAGGGTCTGGTGAAGGTCTGGGGGTCCCTGCAGGCGGAGCATACAGGTCAGGGCACCGCGGACCCCCCGGGGAGCGTGGGAAGCGCTCTGATGGGCGGGGCGTCCCTGGGTTGGAGGCGTAAGGGTCTGATGGGGGGTGGGATGGGGACAGGCGAGGACCAGCGGGCGGCTGGGGAAACTGGTCCGGTCTCAGTGCTGGGGGGGCTGTGAGGTAGGCGGAGTCAGAGTGGGGGCGGGGCGTACCAGGAGTCTGAGGGTTGCTGTAGGGGTCGGGGGAGGGCCGGGAGCTCAGAGGGGACTGCTGGGGGAGCAGGTCCCCGGTCTGCTGGCTGTAGTCTGGGCGGGGGGTGCCGGGGGTCTGAGCATAGGGGCTGCAGTGGGGGGAGCCCAGGCTGGACAGAGGACTAGAAGGAAAGGACGGTTCCAGGACTTGGGGAAAAGAGAAACCCAGGTCCGTGGGTCTGGACAGCTCTCTGCGTGCTCCTCCCACCTCCTGCTGGGGGGGCATGGGGGCTTTAAACACCCCACCCTGAAGAAACTCGCTCCCCCGACCAGGAGACCCGGGGACCACCACCTGTTGGTTCATCCTCTGCTGGACTTCACCTGCTCGAACACCCACCTGTCTTACTGACAGGTCGGGGGCGGAGCCTGAGGACGGGCTCATCATCCCCATCCTGCCCTGCTGGGAGCCTGCAAGAACACAGAGGAGTTAGACTGAGGAGGAGTTAGACTGAGGAGGAGTTAGACTGAGGAGGAGTTANCTGAGGAGGAGTTAAACTGAGGAGGAGTTAAACTGAGGAGCAGGAGGAGCACTGAGAAGAAGTTAAACTGAGAAGGAGGAGTTAAACTGAGGAGGAGGAGCCCTGAGGAGTTATGGTATCAGAGAACAACACAGTCTTAGAATTTAATAGTACAACAGAGGAGTTAGACTGAGGAGGAGCACTGAGGAGGAGTTAAACTGAGGAGGAGTTAAACTGACGAGGAGTTGAACTGAGGAGGTGGAGCACTGAGAAGAAGTTAAACTGAGAAGGAGGAGTTAAACTGAGGAGTTAAACTGAGGAGGAGGAGTTAAACTGACGAGGAGTTAAACTGAGAAGGAGGAGTTAAACTGAGAAGGAGGAGTTAAACTGAGGAGTTAAACTGAGGAGGAGGAGTTAAACTGAGAAGGAGATGAACTGAGGAGGAGCCCTGAGGAGGAGTTAAACTGAGGAGGAGGAGCCCTGAGGAGTTATGGTATCAGAGAACAACACAGTCTAAGAATTTAATAGTACAACAGAGGAGTTAGCAGGAGAACAGAGGAGTTAGCAGGAGGAGAAGCAGGAGGAACAGCAGGAGAAGCAGGAGGAACAGAGGAGGAGTTACCGGACTGTGAGGTCTCGCAGGTTTTGGAGTCTGGAGATGGGGCGGGGGAGTTAATTGTGTCGTGAGCCGGGGAGGCGCCTAGGGAGACGAGGCGCTGCTGCTGAGGAGCCGGAGCACCTCCTGACTGGGATGAGGAGGGCCGAGGAGTTCCTGCACCTTTACTGTAGGGGTCCCATGGAGAGGACGGGCGGGAGGAGGGAGGTGAAAAGACCTGGGGGGAGGACGGGGGCTGGTGCAGGGGAGAGGAGGGCAGTGAGGAGAAGCCAGAGAGGGGAGGGGCTTGTGGTCGGAGGAACACTTCACCGGCCGACCCCGAGCTCCCCTGCTGGAGGAGGTGCTGCCTGCTGGACGGCTGGTGTTGGGGGGAGGTGCTGTCCCCTGCAGCAGGCTGATGGGCGGCGGCCTCTGGGGACAGGTGTCCTGTGAGGCGGAGCTGCTGCTGGCGCTGCTCGTTCTTCACCTGCTCCAGTTTCTGCGTGGCCTCCATCTTGGCCAGCTGCTTGCTCTTCTGACGCATTTGCTGAAAGAGGAGGAGTCACGGCATAAGTGATGTCATCAGGTTATAAAACACCTGTCCACAGACTGAGCCTCACCTGTCTAAGCTTCCACTCCTGCTCCTGTTCTGACTCTYTGGGCCTCAGTGGGTCCTTCAGGGACATATCCGCCTCCATGGACATGTGGTCGTAGGGTCCCAGCTGCTGTGGCGGTGGCGGCGGGGGCGGTGGCACCTGCACCTGCTGCTGCACGGGCTGCAGGCACTTCAGCGGGTCGTTGGACAGCTGAACCTTGTTGATGCGTTGAGCCGCTCGGTTGTCTCTGGCTTTTTGCTGCAGACAGGAAACAAGACGTGACTGAAGGGAGCAGAGAGATGCATTGATCTGTATTACTGGACTGGACATGGCCCATTAGCCTCTATAGCTAGTGACATGACCACTGAACTATATTACTGGACTGGACATGGCCCATTAGCCTCTATAGCTAGTGACATGACCATTGATCTGTATTACTGGACTGGACGTGGCCCATTAGACTCTATAGCTAGTGACATGACCATTGATCTGAAGTTTCTGACCCAGTCTGAAGGTTCTGACCCAGTCTGACGGTTCTGACCCAGCCTAATAGAGAAAGTGAAACTCACCACGTAGGGAGCTCTGTCCTGGGAGCTGGCCTTCCTCCACAGTTTAGTGATCTGCTTCACCCGAGTGGGCCAGTCTGACACACAAACATGACCAAGCTGTAATTTATCTGTTACTGTGACACATAAAGGCTGTGTGTGTGTGTGTGTGTGTGTGTGTGTGTGTGTACCGGGGTACTGCTGCCTCAGCTGGGGGAAGTTTGTGTTGCAGTAAAGAACCGGGGCGACAGTGGCCAGCTCTCCCAGACTCTCCTCCTTCTCCCACTTCAACATGCTCTTCTGAGCCGATGACAGGGCGTCCTGCTCGCCCTCTGGAGCTGCTGACGTCTGATTGGTGGAGGCTAAGCAGGGGGCGGGGCCCTGCGGGGGAAGTACCCTGAACCTGGCTGGACCCGGGGTGGTGCTGGGCTCAGTGTTGGAGAGGTGAGGAGCAGCAGGCATCAGGCCGTTCATCAGAGACAGGCGAGGGAAGGCTGCAGCTGGGGGAGGGACAGAGTCAACACACCTGCTCCTGTGTGTGTGTGTGTGTGTGTGTGTGTGTGTGTGTGTGTGTGTGTGTGTGTGTGTGTGTGTGTGTGTGT